GAAACCTGGGGGATCCCAAAAACTCCTCAGGGATTCCGAAGTATCCCTGTGTATCTTACAGATGTATACGTGTACGTACGCAAATACATACATGTATGCATATATACACATGTATATGTATGTATGTGTGTATGCATGTATATGAATGTACGTACATATAAGTGTATGTATAAAAAGGAAGTGTGCATATGGATGCGCACATGCGATATATATATATATATATATATATACACATACATACATACATACATACATACATACATACATACATGCATACATGTGTGTATGTACATATCGCGATGCATGTATAAATACGTGTATACATATAGGTGAACACATATATGGTATGTATAAATGTATACCGTGATTCTACATACTAACAAATGATTACACATGTACAACGCGCACCCCCCGTGTGCCGACGCCCGCCCCGGCCCCGGTGGCCTGGTCGGGGGCCACGACCCAGTGCAGGTACCCGTCCCAGCCCCGGGGGGGGAGCTAAGCTCCGCCAGCTCCAAGTTTTCCATTTACCAAGAATGATAAAATATCATTTTCCAAAAAAAAACAAGATCTCAACAACAAGCTGGGGCCGGGACGGTCGTCGCAACGAACAACAACAACAACAAACACAACCACAATCACAACGACAACAACAACAACAACAACAACAATAATTTTAAGACAGTTCGCCCTTATATGCTCGAGTGCCCAATAACGCGTATTTCCCAAACCCTCGATACCCGACCTCTTCGTTTTCGATCGAACCTCTTTTGGGGGGTATACTTTTCTTCCCTGCAGGCCGGGCCCCGGCAAGCGGCGGGGCGGCCGCGGACCGTCGGCCTGGCAAGCGGCAGCACTGATCGGCGGGGCGGCCGCGGACCGTCGACCCGACCCCAAGAGGGACGGACAGGGGACCGACCACGACGACGACGACGACCACGACGTCGAAGACGACGGCGACGACGACGACGACGGCGACGACGAGCGAAAGCGAGAGCGAGAGAGAACGACAGCAGGGCCACGAAGGGCACGAAGTAGGCCACGAAGGGCGACAGCGATGACACGACGGGAATGCGTATGGGGCCACGAAGAGCGCGAACGAGCTGGGCCACGAAGTGCAGAGAATACGGGGCCACAGCACGCAACTATGGGGCCACTGAGGGTAGAAACTGCGCCACGTAGGACAGTGAGGGGGACACAAGTGGCGACAGCGGGGCCGCGAAGGGCATGCACATGGGGCCACATAGGGCGCGACTCCTGGGTGCCTGGGTGTCGGGAGCGCGGCGATTGGGCAAATTGCAAGCAATTCCAACGCAAGGCCCTCCTTCAGTAAGTTGCAAGCAAGTCTCCAGCGAGAGCGCGACTCCAGAGCGACGGGAGAACGATTCTTAATAAATTGTAAGGAAGTCCCAAGCGAGAGCACGATTCCTGGATAAAATGCGAGGAAGTCTCGGGCGGGAGCGGGGGTCCTGGCTAAATTGTAAGGAAGTCTCAGGCGGGAGCCGTTGTCGTTGTAACCCGGGGGCCAGGGGCCCTGTTTGAGCAGGAAGACTTTCCCTGTCAGAAAACTTGGCGCGAGCGTCGATGGGGCACACTTTGATGGAGAAAAAACAACATGCACCGGTGATGGGGGGCTCAACAATAATTACTCTTCTACTAAAATGGGAATACCACAACAACAACAACTACAACAACAACAACAATAACAACAACAACAACAACAACAACAACAACAACAACAACGACAACAACAACACTTATTTTAAGACTGTTCGCTCTTGTCTGCTCGCGTGTCATTCGATATGCACATCCCAAACCCTGGACACCCGCCTCTTCGTCTTCGATCGCACCCCCGCTTGGGGAGTGTACTCATTCCCTGCCCCGCGCGGTTGGCGAAGCCCTTGAAAACGAAGGGCAACCCGCAACGGGGGAGAACGAGGACGAAGGGATCGGAGGAAGAGAGGGGAGGGGCAAGAAGGAGGGAAGACGATGATCTGCGCTGCGAGCGGCGATTCAACTTGAGCCGTGGTATGCGCCAGCCACTCCAACACAGGTTAACAATAAGTTTCGCCACGGGCGTCGCCATAAACAGCGCCGCGCACCACCCCCTTGAAAGAGCACATCGTGGACACCCCCACCGGGGGGGCGCACAGCTGCGAACTGGCGTCAGAAACAAATTTCGTGGAACCCTGACAAGAAGCGGACGTTGGGAGAGTGGGGCGGAAGGATAAAGAGAACTGCAACCGCGTCGAAAAAGGCGCGGGGTCGTGGAGTGGATCGGCATGGAGTGGCCAAGAGTAGGGTCTCAGGAGGAGGAGCGGCAAGGAGTGGAGAAGTGGAACCGGGAGGAGGGCGGAGGAGCGGGGGGCGCACGGAGGAATCTGGAGGAAGGACTGGGCATAATTTGGGAGAAATGCGGAATGCGAGCGGGAAGGGGCGGAGATTGCCTGGGTGGGATGGGGCGGTCTGGGGAGGAGCGGGCGGAATGCGAAGAACTGCGGAATAGCACAATGGAGTACGAACGACATGGAAATGACGATAACGGCAAAGAGCAGGGCAGACTGGGAAAGAACGTTGAAAAGTGGGGGCAGGTGGATACGAGCGGAGACTTGTGCGGAAACAAAGCGCGGGGGGATTGGAAGGCACCCGAAAGCCTCCTATGTCCTCTGGGAGCCTCGGAATGGCCCCGATGACCACCGAGCAGTTCCAGAGGCTCCGAAAACCTGCGGGAACGCCCCGGGGGCCTCGTCAAGGGAGGCCTTCAATTCGAAGCCTGCAAGGGAACCTGAGCCAGTGGAACACGCGCCTCAAAGGCCGGCAAACTGGGCCCCGGCAAGCGGCGGCCGCGATCCGAGGTAACTGCATCCAGCAATCGGCGGCCGCGATCCGGGGTAACTGCATCCAGCAAGCGGGAGCCGCGATCCGGTGGTACATTGCAAGGAGGTCCCAAGCGAGAGCGCGATTCGTCAATAAATTGTGAGGAAGTATCCGGCGGGAGCCGTTGTTGTTGTAAACCGGGGGACAACGACACAATTTGACCCTCAAGACTTTCCCTGATCAAAAACAGGGTGCGAGCCCCGGGACGGGCACTTGAATCGAAAAAACACTGTACACTGGACGGGGGGGGATCAACAATAATTGTTCTTCAGAAATGAGAGTTCAACAACAACAACAACAATAACAACAACCATAAAAACAACAACAACAACAACAACAACAACCACAACAACAACAGCAACAGCAACAGCGACAGCAACAGCAACAACAACAACAACAACAACAACAACAACAACAACAACAACAACAACAGCAACAGCAGCAGCAACACCAACTACATCATCATCATCATCATCATCATCATCATCAGCAGCAGCAGCAGCAGCAGCGGCAGCAGCATCAGCAGCAGCAGCAGCCGCAACGAAATCCTCGTCAGCATCACCAACATCAACCTTAGCATCATCGCCATCATCATCATTATTGTCATCATCATCATCATCATCATCATCATCATCACCATCATCATCAACAACAACGTCATCGACAGCATCATCATCACCACCACCACCATCATCATCCCTATCATCAGCAGCAGAATCATCAGCAGCAGCATCAGCATCATCATCAGCATCATCATCAACACCACAACCAACACCACCACCACCATCATCATCATCAGCAGCAGCAGCAGTAACGTCATCATCATCAACAGCATCGTCATCATCATCATCATCATCAGTATCATCTCCACCATCATCCTCAGCCGCAGCATCATCATCATCACCACCACCACCACCACCACCATCATCATCATCATCATCATCATCATCATCATGGTCATCACCATCATCATCATCGTCGTCATCGTCGTCATCATCATCAGCATGATCATCATCATAATCATCATCATCGCCATTGTCGTCGTCGTTATAGTCAGTAGCATCAGCATCAGTATCATCATGGACAGCAGCAGCAGCCGCATTATCATAATATTCCCCATCCCCGTCCTCATCATCAGCAGCATCATCAGCATCATCAGAATTAAGCAGCAGCAGCAGCATCATTAGCAACAGTACCACCTTCGTCATCATCCTCATCATCATCAGGTACGGCAGCATCATCGTCATCATCAGCATCAGCATCAGCATCAGCACCATCATCGTCGTCATCATCAGCATCAGCATCACTACGACCACCATCACAACAATCAACATTACCATCATCAGCATCAGAAGTATCAGACTCGTTCGATTCTTATTCGGCCAAGTATCGCCATCATAATCGGCATCATCATCCTCGTCATGAGTCTCAACATAATCGTAGTCGCCGTCGTCCTCGCCGTCGTCGTCGAGGTCATCGTCATAAGCATCATCAGCACCATCAGCAGCATCAACGTCATCTTCATCTCCGTCGCAACCATCACCATCGACGTCTTCGCTGTAATCTTCATATTCACCAAGTCACTACCATCGTCGTCGACCACGATATCGTCATTATCATGGTCATCCTCATCAACGCCATCACTCCTCCACTTCTTCCACATGGAACCCTCCTGGGAGGCGGAGAGGGTATGTCTCCAGATGGCCCCCAGCTGAGCGCGAAATGCTGCACACTCCCTTGTAATCCTCCTCCTCCTCCTTCCTCCTCCTCCTCCTCCTCCTCCTCCTCCTCCTCCTCCTCCTCCTCCTCCTCCTCCTCCCTCCATCCCCATCCTCCCCCCCTCTTCACCTCACTCTTCGCTTCTCTCTCGCCAGCGGGCCCGCCCCGCCGCGCCGCGGGCCAGTGGCCCGCGGCCCGGCCCCGAGGCGCTGCGGCCCCCGAGGCGAGCGGGCCGCCGCGCGCTCGGCCAGCGGCGCTCGGCCAGCGGCCGGCGGGCGGCGACGCTCGGCCGCGGCCAGCGGCGCTCGGCCAGCGGCGCTCGGCCAGCGGCGCTCGGCCAGCGGCGCTCGGCCAGGGGGCACTCGGCCCGCTGCCAGCGCCAGGCCGCCGCGGCCGCGGCGAGGCGGCCGAGAGCGCGGGCCCGCGGCCGCGGCGGAGCGCCCCGCCCGGAGCGCCCAGCCCGGGGAGAGCAGCCCGCCGCGGGCCACGGCCGGCCCCCGGGAGCCCGACGTCGGGCCGCCGTCGCCCGGCCTCGTGCCCCACGGGGGGGCCATCTCGCGAGGCTGCCGTTTGTTGGGCGGCGTCGGGTCTCAGTGGTCCGCGGCGCCCGGAGCGCCGGGAGAGAACGGCCCGCAGCGGGCCCTGGCCGGTGGCCGGAGGAGGTCGACATCCAACGTACTGCAAGAAGCCGAGTCGAGGGTTCTTCGCCGTGTTCCGCCTCGGGAGGCCCTCGCCGGCCCCTGGGGGCCGTCGGAAAAGGGCTGCGATGCGCCAGAGACAGCTTCGCTGGAGCTCAGGGGCATCCTGAACAGGGACCGACCGTCCTGGCACTCCTATAGGTCTACCACGAAATTCTCTTAGAGAAACAGGATGTTGTGAAAAAGGAGGTTCTGAACAGAACCTGTGTTCTTCTTAGAACATAAAGCCCAGTAGTTCGTTGTACAAATCGCAGGCAGACACGTTAGACAATAAGATGCTGTGCAAGCCGCAAAGGTTCTGAGAACTTTACCTGGTGGGCGCATAGGCAGGCCAGGGCGACTCGCCAGCGCTTGAGCATCTGCCTGCCTTCCCCGAGCGCACAGGCTCAAGCCGTCACGCGGCCACGGCCCGCTGCGCCCCCGCGAACCGGGCCTCGCCGACGCTGCCATCGCCGCTGCCAGTGCCAGCAGTGCAGAAGCCGGCCAGGCTGCCACTCCAGAAGGAATTGGCGGCGCGCACAGGGGGGTAGGGGGAGGGGGGAAGGCTTCTTAGAAGCAGCATCCTTCTGAGAAGCCTTCCCCCCTCCCCCAACCCCCCTCTGCGCGCCGCCAAAGGAACCAGCTGCATCGACAGAAGCACTCAGACCCAGCGCGGGTTTCTTGGATCTGCGTTCGGGTTCCTATGACAGCGCCTCTGGCGCCGCCCACGGCGCGTTCCACGCGCCATGGGCGGAAGGCCTCTGCCCAGGTCCAAGAAATCCGTGCGGAACTCCCGAAGTTTATGTCTACGTCGCGTTCTTTCCTCTGTGGACACTCGGCTGCGGCGCTGGCCACCCTCCTAGGCGACGAGGAGCTGCGCGAAGTCGACGCCCATCTCTGGGGACAGCTGGAGCCGCACCTACGAACGGCAATGTCAGGGGGTGCTTGCTCAAGAGAGGAAACATAGAGCCCAAACCGGCGATACATCGCCGACTGGTCGGCGATAAGTCCCCGAGAGCGACTCCGCCCGTCCTGGGGAGGGCCGTGCCATCGAGCTCCGATGAGCAATGAAAAAGCGACTCGGGGACGATACATCCCCCCGTGAGCCTCTCCCCCCGCAAGGTTGCCGCACGACTCTCGGATCATAACTCGGCTCTCTTGCGGCCGATCGGGACGATCCTGGCACCCATTGGAACGCTGCTGACGAGGAGCAGGTGACGGAAACCACCCCAGGTCCCCAAAAAACTCGAGCCCGGGCCCCTCGTGAGCCTGGTCCACCGTGGGCTCGGCGCCGCCGAACTCGGCGAACCCGAAGGGGCCCTCCACGCGCCCGTCCACCAGCGCGGCGCAGGAGCTCGCCTCCCAGTCGAACTCGACGTGCAGCCGCAGGCGCTCGCTCAGCCCGGACGTCGCGGCGCCCTCCTGACACAGCTGGGACGAGAAGGAGAAGGACGGGGAAAAGAGCTGGAAATGCAGGGGCTGATGGCGACGAGAAGGCTCACGTGGTGGGTTCGAGCCTGGCTCGAAGGACAGTCCAACCCTAACACCACTCCAGCCCCCCGACGCGCCTGAGCCCTTTCCTGGCCCTTCCAGGGCCCCAGCGCCCTCCTAACACAGTTGGGACGAGAAGGATGAGGACGAGGAAGAGAGCTAGCAATGCAGAGGCTGATGGCAACGAGAAGGCTCACACGGTGGGTTCGAGCCTGGATCGAAGGACAGTCCAACCCCAACATCACTCCAGCCCCCCGGTGCGCTGGAGCCCTCTTCTGACCCTCTCAGGGCCCCGGGAGGCCGCTGCCCTGAGGACCCGCTCCCCTGACCCTGAGATCGGACGCTGCGAAAAAGCTGCAACATCGCGAAACAACACGACAGGAGCCCTAGACTCGCTCTTTCTGCGACATGTTTCGAGCTGGATTGATCAATGATGGTGCTAGGATCCCATTCGGGGATGGACAGAACCCCCTTTAGTAAAACGTAGTTTAGTGAAAACGACCTCGGGCCCACACCTGGCGTGCGCAAGCCTGAAAAAAAGGCCGCGGCGCCCTCTCGAGAACCGAAAACGGACAAAATTCGCTGATCGACGTGTCAGGGTGGGGAGTCTGTCCAACCCCGACCCAAACCGAGCGAAGACGCCCAGTATATGAAAGATGGCAACGCCTGGATCTCAGGTCGGGAGCGGCCAAGAGGGGGGTGTCCAAGAGGGGGGGGTGCAAATCATGACCGGCGGCATGTGCGCGGCCCAGCGGGGGGGCCAGGGACGTAATGAAATAAGAAGAGGCGCCATGAAATCTGAGGAAACATCATGGCCCCCGCCACGAAATCCACCCCCCCTAGTCATCACCCCCCTCTTTTCCGCTCCCGATCAGGGGAGAGACCGCTCGCACCATGCCAGTCCCGACCGGCGCACATCCGGCGCCTTCCCTGTTGGAGGCACAAGCCCCCGACGCCTCGACCACTGCACCGGGACCGGCCCTGCCCTCCGCGCCGTCCCTCGGCGACCCCGAGCCCCGGCGAAGAGGCCGCCGAAGGCCCCAAGACTTGCGGAAAACCTGCCGCCGTGCTTCTTGCCGTCTGGGCTGGGGGCGCGCTTGCGTCGGGAGCGGCAAAGAGGGGGGCGTCAAAGAGGGGGGGGTGCAAATCGTGGCCAGCGGCGTGTGCGCGGCCCAGCGGAGGGGCCAGGGAGGTAATGAACTGAGAAGAGGCGCCATGAAATCTGAGGAAAAATCGTGGCCCGCGCCATGATATCCACCCCCCCCCCCCCAGTCATCACCCCCCTCTTTCCCGCCCCCGATTGCGCCCTGCCCCTCCTGACGGGGGCCCTCCGCCGGGGCGCCAGCGCCCAGGGGCCACGCGCGCTGCCGGTAGGCCCACGCGCTGGCCTTGCCGGCGCACCGGACCACGTCGCGCACGGAGGCGCGCAGGGAGCCCGGGCGGTGCACGGCGGCGCCCGCGGCGGCGGCGTGCTCGGCGTCGTGGGCGGTGGGCATGCCAGGGGGCGCACAGCCTGGGAGGGCGCCGGAGGAGGAGGAGGAGGAGGAGGAGGAGGGGGAGGAGGAGGAGGAGGAGGAGGAGGGAGGAGGAGGAGAGGAGGAGGAGGAGGAGGAGGAGGAGGAGGGTGAGGAGGAGGAGGAGGAGGGGGAGGACATAGAGGCCTCCCAGATGCCAAGCGGGGTCTGCCAAATGGGCGGGCACAGCCTGGACAAGCACAGAGAGGCCGAGCACAGCCTGGGCAGCAGAGGCCGAGCGCTCCCCCTGGGCAAGACAAGCAAAGGGAGGGGCCAGGCACCGGGCCCGGGCACGGGGTCTACCAACAGCAGTACAGGCCGAGCACAGCCCGAACAAGACGGGAGGCCTCTCAAAGGGGGTCCGAGTACATGGGGTCGGAGGATCGCGCCGCATCGACGATAAATCAACCATGCATCGGCGATGCATCGACGACGCCGGCGTGGAGACCATCGGGTTCCACATGGAGCCGCATCGCCGATGCATCTGCGATGCGCGCACAGCCCGGGGGGCGCACGGCCTGGGAGGCCGCCGGCTGCGCAGACATGCTCGCAGCGTGAACAGGTCGGAGCGGAAGCTTTGGCCGTTTGCGGCCTCCAGGGGCTCTCGCTGGCCAGCGGCATCTCGGGATGGCAACATTTACTTGACTGAGGCTTTCGGCGGAAGCAACAGGCAACAACGCTGAGGGCACGCCGCCAAATATGATGTGTTGCAACGTCTGCGATAGAAACAACGACAAAGCAGTGAAAGAGAAAGATTTCTGGTTCCGCGCTGGGATCCTCAAAAACGACTCAGGATCAAAAGCAGGCTCTGGGGAAAGGGTCAGAACTTACGGAGAGGGGGGGGGGGCGTGCTGAAAAAACGAGACAGCGCATCTCTGGTCAGCGATCTTGGCCAAGCCAAGCCTGGGCCCAGGGATCAGTGCATGCACCCTCCTGGCCCAGGCAGGAAGGAGTAGACCATCAGATCCAGCCAGGCAGGCAGGAGTAGACCATCAGATCCAGGCGTTGCGCTCTTCTTCACACTGGGCATTTTCGCCATGTCTCGGGCCCCGGGACCCTCAAAGGTCGACCCGGCTCGGAAAACGCCCCAGCAAGACAGGGCCCAGGGCTCTGGTGGCGAGGTCCCAGGCGCAGCCGTAGGGCCTCCCGCGCGCGGGGTCCCCCCCCTGGGTGGCTCGGCCGCGGGCGGAGCCGCACACCCTCTGGGCGCAGAGGGCACCACGCCTCCGGGGAAGCCACGACGTGCCCAGGCGTCCGGCGCCCCGGCTTGCTCGAGAGAACGGGCCCCGGACCGAACTCCCATCACATCGGGGCGCTGCGATTGTCCGCGCTGCTGCGATCGTCTCGCAGCGTCGGATCCTCAGGGCCTGCGCACGGCCCACCGGCAGGAGGGCGTATGGGCACCGATCCTGGAAGGGTCGGCCCGGCCAGGGCACTGCAGGGGATACCTCCTCCTCCTCCTCCTCCTCCTCCTCCTCCTCCTCCTCCTCCTCCTCCTCCTCCCCCTCCCCTCCCTCCCTCCTCCTCCTCCTCCTCCTCCTCCTCCTCCCCTCCTCCTCCTCCCCTCCCCTCCCCTCCTCCTCCTCCTCCTTCCTCCTCCTCCTCCTCTCCTCCTCCTCCTCCTCCTCCTCCTCCTCCTTCTCCCGTGCAGGTTTGCGGCTGGCGTCTCCCAGATGACCAGAGGGCAGCCCCAGGGAGAAGAGCGGCTGCTCCGGCACAGCGGTATCCTCAAGGGGTCCAGGGGAACACACAAATACATCGGCACAGATCCAATGACTCCCCCTCATGCCTGTGGCAGGTCTCCAGGATGCTCCTCTTCGCCTCCAGCTCACACACCCTCCCGCATTCTCATGAAAGTCCGTGCGTCTGCAGAGCCCTCCTAGATGGGGTCCGTGTAGATGGGGTCGGAGGATCGCGGCGCATCGCCGATGTATCGCTGATGCATCGGCGATGCATCGCCGATGTATCGACGACGTCGGCGGCACATCGGTGACCTCAGCGCGGAGAAACTCGGGCCCCACATCGAGCCGCACCGGCGATGCCTCGGCGATGCGGCGTAGTCCTCCGACCCCCTCTGCTCTGACCCCCCCTCTCTTCCAGACCTGGAGTCTGTGCTCGCGCCGAGGATAGGGGGCCAGATAGGGGGCCAGATGCGAACCATACCCCTACCCCCCACGATTTCTGAGGGCGAGGGTGGGGTTCACTTCGCTCGGAAGCCGAGGTCCACCAGGCTGAGGCCCACCCCGCGGCCCGGGCGCCCGGGCGCGCCGCGGCACAGCACGTCCAGCTGCAGTAGCCGCGGCGTGACGTGCGCCCCCAGGTCCCAGGCGCAGCCGTAGGGCCCCCCGCGCGCGGGGTCCCCCCCCGGGTGGCTCGGCCGCGGGCCGAGCGGCACGCCCTCCAGGCGCAGAGGGCACCACGCCTCTCGAGGATCCTCAGAGGCCCTGTGCTCCTCCTCCTCCTCAGCCTCTTCCTCCTCCTCCTCCTCCTCCTCCTCCTCCTCCCCTCCTCCTCCTCCTCCTCCTCCTCCTCCTCCTCTCCTCCTCCTCCTCCTCCTCCTCCTCCTCTCCTCCTCCTCCTCCTCCTCCTCCTCCTCCTCCTCCTCCTCCTCCTCCTCCTCCTCCTCCTCCTCCTCCTCCTACCTCCTCCTCCTCCTCTCCTCCCCTCCTCCTCCTCCTCCTCCTCCTCCTCCTCCCTCCCCTCCTCCTCCTCCTCCTCCTCTCTCCTCCCCTCCTCCCCTCTCCTCCTCCCTCTCATGCCTCCTCCACCTCCTCCTCCTCATCCTCCTCCGCCTCAGATCGCCCTCCTCCTCAGAACGTGTGTTGGCGCCAACGTGTGCTTGTCCATCGAAGCCCTTGGATACGACGCAGGCGATGCAATGCTCTACCGGCCGGGCTAGGCGGGATAAACACACACATAGGGCTAACGCCTCAGATCGCAGGAAATCCTCAGAACGTGTGTTGGCGCCAACGTGTGCTTGTCCATCGAAGCCCTTGGATACGACGCAGGCGATGCAATGCTCTACCGGCCGGGCTAGGCGGGATAAACACACACATAGGGCTAACACACGTCCCGAGGATCATCGAGCCTCCCTGGGGAAGCCAAGACATGCCCAGACGTCCGGCGCCCCGACTTGCTCGAGGAACGGGCCCCGGACCGAACGCCAATCACATCGGGGCGCTGCGATGTTGTCACAACGGGCGCTGTTGCCCGGCTTCGGGCCATGGGACCCTCACAGATCGACCGGGTTCGAAAAATGACGCAGAAAGATGGGGATTGGGACTCCAGGCGTGATTTTTCGCGCGATGTCGCGAGTGGGCACCACGCCTGTGAGGAAGCAGAGACATACGCAGGGTGGAGCTAAAAAAGCTGACCCGACCAGGACGAACAATGTGACGAATGTCGCGAAACTGGAGGAGGAGTAGGAGGAGGAGGGGGAGGAGGAGGGGAAGGAGGAGGAGGAGGAGGAGTAGTAGGAGGAGGAGGAGGACGAGGAGCTCGAGACCTTGAGATCCACGCTGAACATCCACATTGCTCGTCCGCAGAAAAGCTTCTCAGGTCTCATGGCCCTATCATGAGGGGAAAAAACACACAGACACAATTAATCGTCCACTCCCAGGAGAATATGGGAAAATATGGGAAGTGTGGGGGACGACAAGAAGCCAGAAAATATAAGAAAATATGGTGAATTCATTCCCTACCTAGGCTCTGCCTAGAGGGTTCTTACTTTGTTTGCTTAAAGGGGCCGGGCAGTGTAAAACGCCCCGGGCGGTTCCCCCAGTCCCCGCCCCGCGGTTCCCCCAGTTGCGCCCCCTGGGTTCCCCTAGCTTAGCTTAGCTTAGCTTACCTTAGCTTCGCTTAGCTCAGCTAAGCTTAGCTTAGTTTAGGATACCTGAGCGTAGCCTAGCCTAGCTTAGCTTAGCTTAGCTTAGCTTATCTCATCTTAGCTTAGCTTAGTTTAGTTTATATTAGCTGAGCTTAGCTGAGCTTAGCTTAGCTTATATCATATTAGCTTAGCTTAGCTTAGCTTAGCTTAGCGTATCTTAGCTGAGCTTAGCTGAGCTTAGCTTAGCTTAGCTTATATCAGATTAGCTTAGCTTACTGTTCTTAGCTTAGCTCAGCTTTGCTTAGCTTAGCTTAGCTTAGCTTGGCTTGGCTTAGCTTAGCTTAGCTTAGCTTAGTCTAGCCTGGCTGTAGTTTAGCTTAGCTTAGCTTACCTTACCTTAGCTTAGCGCAGCGCGGCATAGCGCAGCGCAGCATTAGCACAGCATAGCATAGCATAGCATAGCCATGCATAGCATAGCATAGCATAGCTCAGCATAGCACAGGCATAGCATAGCATAGCATAGCGCAGCATAGCATAGCACAGCATAGATGCTGGTGTAGATGTAAATGTAGCTGTCGGTGTACATGTAGATGTTGCTTTCCTACATGCTCCAACTCCTAGGTAGGGTCGCACTGTGATAATTTGTGCGTATTTATTTGTGTGTCCCAGGGCCCCTTCACCCCAGGCCACACATCTGGCGTCTCGAGTGACGGGCCCCCGATCGACCACTTCCCCAGGGCCAGCTTTCTCATCGCGACTCGTTTTTGACGGCCCCGAGGCCCCGTAGAGGCCCCGAGGGGCCGAAAGCAGTGGGAAAAAAACACGCGAGGACGCTGAAAACGGTCCTGGCCAGAGTGCTGGGGGGATGCAGCCATGGCGAAGAGGGCCTCCCAGGGGGGCCGAGAAGACGAGCACGAGGAACTGTCCATCGCTCGGACGTCCACTCCCTGTGCATTTTTCGATCTCGTGCGTGTATTGCTTCGCAAGATTAGGAGAATTTTGTCTTCCCCCCCCACTTCCCATATTTTCCCATATTTTCTAGGGGATCGACGATTAATTGTATCTGCGTGTTTTTGTTATCCTCCTGAGTTTCCTCGCCCGAGCCTCGGAGCCAGGCGGCCCCACCCACGCCTCCGGCAGCCGGCGCACCGAGGGTCCAGTGATCTAGGTGCTCGCTCTGGGGACCTCCTGGTAAGACGAAGTGAGGACGAGGGTAACATCGGATGAGGACGAGGATAAGCAGATGCCCCCCCAGGGGCATCAGAAGGCATCCAGAGCCCCAGAGTGGCCGCCAAGAACTCCCCTGCGGGCTCCCCAGCCAGGGGCGCCAGCGTCCATCTGCACGGGCACCCCCTGCAAATCCAACGCAACGGGTTGCGGCGAGCGAGGGGGGGAAATAAGAGGAGAAGGCCTGCTCAGGAGGCGGCAGGGCTTCTCAGAAGCCCTCGCGCCTTCTGAGAGGGTTTGTTCTGGGTTCGGGGCAGGCTTGGAAAACTCCTCGCAAGGCCGGGGGACTTCCGAGTCTTCTGAGACGGCCCGTACCTTCTCACTTCCCCCCCTCGCTCGCCGCCGATCCATGGACCAGAGAACAAACGACGCTACCCCACCTACGGCCCCACGGGGCTCAGCGTACACCAGGAGATCTGGCGTGGGTTTTTGCGCGGTATGCGCCATGGCCCCCCATGGGCTGCAGCGCAACATCGAGGGCCGTAGGTGGGGTGGTGTTTTTTGTTCCCACCCATGTGGTGTTGGGTCCTCGTTTTGAAGAGACGGTCCCCGCGTTCCTCCTCCCTCCTCCCTCCCTCCCCCTCCCCCTCCTCCCTTCTCCCCCTCCCCCCTGCGTTTCACCCACACAGTGCAGCGCTTCGTGGCCCCATAGGGAGCTACACCGAAGCCCCCAGTGGGACCGTCCGCATGCATCCCAGAAACCCAATTTGGCACAGCCCTCACACGTTTCGTGGCCCCATAGGGAGCTCCAGCGAAGGCCCCAGTGCCACCGTCCGCATGCGTCCCGAAAACCCTATTTGGCATACCCCTCACACGTTTCGTGGCCCCATAGGGAGCTCCACCGAAGCCCCCAGTGCCACCGCCCGCATGCGTCCCGAAAACCCAATTTGGCACACCCCTCACACGTGCCGTGGCCCCATAGGGAGCTCCACCGAAGCCCCCAGTGGGACCGCCCGCATGCGTCCCGAAAACCCAATTTGGCACACACCCTCGCACGTTTCGTGGCCCCATGGGGAGCTCCACCGAAGCCCCCAGTGGGATCGCCCGCATGCGTCCCGAAAACCCAAATTTGGTATACCCCTCACACGCTTCGTGGCCCCATAGGGAGCTCCACCGACGGCCGCAGTGCTACCGCCCGCATGCGTCCCGAAAACCCAATTTGGCACACCCCTCACAAGCTTCGTGGCCCCATAGGGAGCTCCACCGAAGGCCCCAGTGCTACCGCATGCGTCCCGAAAGCCCAATTTGGCACACCCCTCACACGTGTCGTGGCCCCATAGGGAGCTCCACCGAAGGCCCCAGTGCCACCGCCCGCATGCGTCCCCCACACCCATTTCGGCACACCCCTCACACGCGTCGTGGTCCCATAGGGAGCTCCACCGAAGGTCCCCGTGCTACCGCCCGCACGCGTTTCCCCTCCCCCCCCACCCCAGTACAGCGCTTCGTGGCCCCATAAGGAGCTCCACCGACGGCCACAGTGCTACCGCCCGCATGCGTCCCGAAAACCCAATTTGGCACACCCCTCACACGTTTCGTGGCCCGCATGCGTCCCGAAAACCCAATTTGGCACACCCCTCACACGTGTCGTGGCCCCATAGGGAGCTCCACCAAAGCCCCTTGTAACCCAATTTGGCACACCCCTCACACGCGTCGTGGCCCCATAGGGAGCTCCACCGAAGGCCCCAGTGCCACCGCCCGCATGCGTCCCCCACACCCATTTCGGCACACCCCTCACACGATTCGTGATCCCATAGGGAGCTCCACCGAAGGCCCCCGTGCTACCGCCCGCACGCGTTCCCCCCCCCCAGTACAGCGCTTCGTGGCCCCATAGTGAGCTCCACCGAAGGTTCCAGGTCTGCCCACCAGTACAGCTTGTTTCGTGACCCCATAGGGAGCTCCACCGAAGGCCCCAGTGCTACCGCCCGCATGCGTTCCCTCCCACCCAGTGCAGCGCTTCGTGGCCCCATAGGAAGCTCCACCGAAGAAGATGTTCACAATTGCAACACCCACAACTGCATATTGTTGGGTCCTTCGCCAGGATATTTTGTTTGGTCGACTGCGGACCTCCTGGTAAGACGAAGTCAGGACGAGCATAAAATCGGGTTACAATGAATCCAGAATCTCTGAGATCTGGCAGCTCTGGAGGATGTCTGGGGAGCGACGGCCTGCTCAGAGCGTTCCAGAACACTCTGCGAGCGCCCCGGAACGCGCTGGAACGGACTTATCCTCGTCCTAGCCCCCTCCGACCGGGAGCCACTCGCTCCAATCAAGCGTCGCTGCTGCGACGAGCGTCGGTCGACCTGAGTGGAATTTGAGTCGAACTTGAATGGAGCTGGAAATGACCTAAACCAGTCGACCTAGAATCGAACAGATAGGTTATGTACGTGGGGCGCAGGAAGGTCCCCGATAAAAGACGGCCAGGGGATTTGAACTGGATGGACCTCGAGAAAATCGGTCAAGGAGAGGGGATGAGGGCAAATCCACCCAAAATCGGTCCCCAAACCCCTACCGTGGTCCATTTGGTGCAGTTCTTCACCCGGGATCCGTTTCTGACAGTCCCGAATACCGAAAACTGCCCCAAGACGCCCAGAAAGAACCCAGAACCTTTGACCTCGCTACTCCTCCTCCTCCTCCTCCTCCTTGCTGGACGGACCCAGTGCTGGGCCACCTCAGACCCCTGGCTCCCGGTCCCCAAAACGAACATCTAACGATAAGTGAGCATCGCTTATCCGGCCCCCATCCGCAACGGCGTGGCCTTGAACCTGCTGGCCCGCTTACCCCTCCAGGCGGGGATATAGGCTGTTTCCTTCGGGCTCCGAGGGGTACGTCCCCAAGTGGGTCGCTGATATGGTGGGGTTCTGGATGGGGAGGGATAGGGGACAGGGGTCGGTAAAACGATACCGAGATGAGGTGGCCGCGGGCGCCCCTCGCCGCGGTCCCGCCCGCGCAGGGCTCCAGGCGGGGCGCCTGCAGGCAGTGCGAGAAACGCAGGAGCGACAGCAGGAGCGGCGGCTCCGGGCAGGGCGCCGCGCGTCGCCGCCGGGCCAGCCCCTCGAGTTGGAGCGCCCGACGTGGGTGCAGAGAAAAAACGAAACAAGTCAAGCCTGTATGCCTGCAAGGCGGCGCCTCCTCCTCCTCCTCCTCCTCCTCCTCCTCCTCCTCCCCCTCCTCCTCCTCCTCCTCCTCCTCCCTCCTCCTCCTCCCCTCCTCCTCCTCCCTCCCCCTGCTCTCTGCTCTGCTCCCTGTTCTCTCCTCCTCCTCCTCCTCCTCCTCCTCCTCCCCCCTCCTCCTCCTCCTCTCCTCTCCTCCTCCTCCCTCCTCCTCTCCTCTCCTCTTCCGCTCCTCCTCCTTTTCCTCTTCCTTCTCCTCCTCCTCCTCCTCCTCCTCCTCTCCTCCTCCTCTCCTCCTCCCCCTCCCTCCTCCTCCCTCCTCTCTCCTCCTCCTCCTCCTCCTCCTCCTCCTCCTCCTCCTCCGCATCTTCATGTTGTTACTATTAGTATTCATGTTATCAGTTTAATGTGTATAATTATTGTTCTTAGTATTATTAGTAGTATTAGTATTATGAGTGTTGGTAGTATTAGTATTAGTAGTATGATTATTAGTGTTGTTATTGCTATTCTTATTATTCCTACTACTGGTAGTATTAAGTGTTTTATTCGTCGTATGTGTATGATTAATAGTTGTAGTAGTATCAATCTGTTTTTTTTTTGAAAATAAACATAATAATAATAGTATGGTTAATACTATCAATAATAATATATTGCGTATCAATAATATGCTCATTATTAATATGTTTCTTCCAAGTCTTATAATCAGTGTTAGTCTTCTTCTTTTTACGATTGCCATTATTATACTTTGATTTTTTATTATTATGAGCAGTATTAGAAAATATTCTTCTTTTTATTGCTCATAGTATTAATATTAGCCTGACTCCTTTCATGATTCGACTTCGTAGTGTTATTCTTATTATTGTTATTATGAATATCATTATTACCAGTATTGATATTATCATTATTAATGGTATGATGCTCCTTACTATTGTTTTATCATTACCATTACTCTTCTTGTTATCAGTTATATTATCATTAGCACAACTGCTATTACTACTCTTAAGATAATTATGATTATTATTATTATTATTATCATTATTATGTTTCTTCTTAATATTACTAGTACCGTTCCTCTTCTAATCCGTAGTATTACTCTTCGTAGTACGAGTATCATTAGTATGCTTAATATTAGTACTCGTATTCTCAGCAGTCTTATTGTTATTACTATTCTTCTGTCTTATTATTACTATTACCAGTATTATTCGTATTATCTGTATGCTTATTCGTATTATTATTACTCTTTTGCTTCTTGTTATTTTCCTTATCCTTATCCTTTTCCTTCTCCTTCTCCTTCTTCTTCTTATTCCTCTTCTTCTTCCTCCTCCTATCATCATCACAATCATGTTCATCATCATCATCATCATCAGCAGCATCATTATCATGCTCATCATCATCAGCATCATCATAAGCAGCAGTATCATCACCATCAGCAGCATCATCGTCATTAGCAGCAGCATCATCATCAGCATCATCAGCATCAGAATCAGCATCAGCATCAGCATCAACACAACAACAGAGAGCCGCGCCCAGACGGCGCATCGGCAGGAAATGTGCACATGCATACGTGGAAAATGTCACTGGGCCTCGGCCGGCAACCACTTGCAAGCTTTGCGCAAATGGCGCGCGAGGGTACGCAGCAACACTCCGTCTGAAGAGGGTGGGGGGGGCGGGGAGGGGACAGGGAGGAGGGAGGCGAATGAGCAGAGCGAGGGAACTCATCGCAGTCACACTGACTGTTTACAATACTCTTTAACAACTGCATCCCATTCCCTTGGAGGAGAATTCAATAATATCTGCAGGCGGTCGGGGTCGTCTCCTGCGACTCTCAGCGCGCGGGCGTGCATGTAACTGGTCCATTGCAAGCGCGGTCTGCCTCGATTCTTCAGGGACCGCCATTCCCGCGGCATTAGGGAGTGCGCCTCGCCTGGCTGGAACACCATTGCTTTCGGCAACGATTGCGAAGGTGCCCTTGCTAATTTACCGCAATATTTAAGCTGCCTCTCCAATAGTATAGTTGACAATGGAGGAGATTGTGCTTCAAGCAGGACGCGTTGATTGCTGAAGAAAGATAGGAATGCCGGTTGGATCTTCAGTACTCTGCGGTAGCATTTGGCTTGAAATCCATCCAGTCTGTTCTTGTCTGCTTGCAATAATACACAAGATTCCAATCCGTACAATAATTTGGAGAAGACGCAGGCTTGCAGTACTCGTAGCTTGTGCTGCTTGGTCATGTTTGCGTGGTTCCACACAGCACATAATTTGTCAAATGCTCCTTTTGCTTCTCCGAGGCGGCGCGTTATTTCAGCCTTGGGCCGACCATCTGCGCTTAAGAGGCCACCAAGATAAACAACGTCGTCTTTAGATTGGATTTCTTCTCCATTCGGCCCCAAAACCGTAGCATGCGATCTGATTTTCAGTAATAATGTTTTGCCAGCGTTCAGGTCGAGCCCAAAAGTTTTCCCAATGTTTGACACGATATGAAAATGCCTCTGAAGTGACTCCGGACACTGTGCCACGAGCAGCGTGTCGTCGGCGTAGAGCACGTCATTAGTAACCACATACGGCTTATTCTTGGAGATGCCCGGCTGCGCGTGGAAGTCCTTGTCGACGGCCTCGAGAAGCACCGACATAACGATTACGAACAGATAAGGAGATAAAGGACAACCTTGTGCAATTCCAGCTGGTTGACACTTTTGCGATGATGTTGTTGCCCCATCTGTGACGACAAACTTGCGCGCCTTGTAGATCGCGGCAATCATGTTCAGCATGGCGGGTGGTACTTGGAAGTGGCGGAGTGCGAACAGTAGCCCCGCTGGTCTGATACGATCAAAAGCTTTGCTCCAGTCTAGTAACAGCAGGAACAGTTTACCATTTTTGTCCTCCAGTGCAGCGTCAATGAGTCTTCGCACTAAGAATAGTGCGTCGCCGGTGCCCCGGGCAGGCCGGAATCCATATTGAGATTCTCGTAGTTTTTCTTCAGCGCCTCCAGTCTTGAGTCGGTGTAAAATTATACTGGCCAAAACTTTATAGCCCACCGCTAACAGGGATATGGGCCTATAGTTGGATGGCTCGGAGGTGTCGCCTTTTTTGAATATTGATACAACCGAAGCTTCTCGCCAATGCGCTGGCATGTCTTTCTGCCGCCAACAATCGTCACACAGCTGTCTTAATATCTCTAGGGCCGCGCTGTTCCTCCATAGCGCGTGCCATAGATCAGGGGGTACTCTATCATTCCCGGCCGCTTTCTGCACCTTCAAGCGTTTGACTGCTCGTCGAACCTCTTCCAAATTGATGCTGCCAACGTCGATGGGTAAGAAGCTGCTGTCCTCCGCTAGGTTGGGAAGCTGTTCTGCCTCATGACATAATTTCCATTGTTCTTTTTCCAGATAGTTTGCCATCGTTTCGGCTCGCTCCTCTGCGCCAACTAGATTACCCTGGGTATCCCGTAGACGTCCATATTTCATCGGCCGCCCTTTCCGGAGTGATCGAATAGCTTGCCATCCGTTTTGTGTTATTGCTTCTTCCAGCCACGCTTTCCTGTCGGCCCGTGCCGAAAGTTGTATCTGCTTGTTGAGGCCTTTCATGACTTTTGCATCCGCCCCGGCATTTCTACGGCGATTCCGCTCTTCGATAAGATGTAGCGTTCTCGTTGTAATCCACGGCCGGCGCTTCTGCACGGAGATGGTTGGCAGAACATGTTGTGCAGATCCCAGCATGCATGTAGCCACGGATTTTGCCCTGGACTCCAGATCTGTACATGGCGGATTGCTTTCCCAATTGCGAACAAAGGCATCAGCGTATTTATCTGCGATGTCCTTGTTTTGTAGTGTCGTCAGATCTGCTGTGGCTGTTCTTGCTGAGCGTTCCTTTTTGGGGATGTCTACGTCGAGGTCCACTATCTGCACGAAGTGATGCGATTGGAGCGCCCTCCACCGATCGCTCCAGATAGCCGTGACGCTGCTGAACCAACTTCGCTCAACTACGACATGGTCCAATTGTTCGAACCGACCTGGTTGTACTGGTTCTGCTGGATGGGTGCCCAGATCGCGGTAAGTTGCTTTAGCTTCGAGTCCTGCGTCGAAAAATGTATTCGCAACGCACGCTTCCAGGGCACCACACAATTCCAATAGTAATTCTCGGTTTGACGTTGGCTCCCACTTCCCGGTAAGATTCTCGAAAGGATTAGGTCCTATGACTTCCCTTTCTCCGGCACGTCGTCGCAGAAGCCTCGCGTTGAAGTCCCCCAGCAGGACGGTTGGCCCATAAGATTTGCATCTGGTGGCGAATGCCGTCAGATCGGTGAAAAAATCGTGCCGGATATCATACGGATGCTCGTTGGTCCAAGCGTATACGGTAATCAACGTAAGAATTCCACCAGATACCCGGAGCCGAATGCTGGCCATTCTGTTGTCCTTTTGTAGGTAACCTTTGACAGCGTGTCTCATCCAAGGTGCCACTACGAACCCGACTCCTGCATATTCTCTGCTGTCGTGCTCCGTCCCAGAAAGAATAAATAAGTATCCCTCGTGTTCCAAAATCTGTGACCCACGGCAATGTGTCTCTTGAAGACACAACACACCGATATTTAATTCTGACATGTGCTTCATTATCTCGTACAACTTGTGTGGCTTCTCCGGGCTGATGCCTTCGACATTCCAGGAGGCAATTCGTCCACACAGTACTGGCGAACATGGAAATGTTACCCATTTGCCCGTACTCGTCGTACTTATAGTGCCGATGCGCCGTCGTATTTCCTAGTGGTTGCCCTTCTTTCCCTTGCCGCTGCCTTTAGCACGCTGGAGGGCCCCATTAGCGCGATCGGTGAGGTCAGACACCTCCGGGCTGTTTGTAAGATCGCCCCAACCAGCCCATGCTCCACACCACGTAACCTGGAGAGCGGACCCGGCGACAAGTACGTGACACACAGGTTCTTTGGCTACTTTGAGCTTCTGTTCCAGAGTATCCACACGTACCTCGCTTTTGGAATAACCCCATCCCAAGAATGTCTTACGCAAGCTGAACAAGAAGCTCTCTGGGACCCTTTTTTCCAAAGGTTGGTCTGGACGCGTCCAAATCACATTTCCTTGATGTTTCAATTGAGCTTTCCCCAGGACTGTGACGAACGTGTCCCGGGCACTGGCCGTGTCAAACTTTGCGAAGAAGATCTGCTGGAACGCGTCGCCTTTGATGAAGGTCTCCTTAGGCTCCGGAGCTCCGAAATGAGCTCCGAAATGAAGCGCCTGTTCATTGATCCATGCAGACGCGTCGCGCAAGGTATCGAAGTTACCCAATCCACCAATGACAGCATTGCACTCATACTGCTTGTTCGTGGTGAGTTCCGCCATTTGGCGCTCGATCTCATTGAGTTTCGCCTCAACAGCATCAGCATGATCATAATCATCATCATCATCATCATCATCATCATCATCATCACCAGCATCATCATCATCATCATCATCATCATCATCATCATCATCATCATCATCATCATCATCCGTTTCCTCCTCCTCCGTTTCTTCCTCCTGCGCCGCCCCCTCCCTCTTCCTTTCGTCCTTTTGCGTTTCCTCCCCCCTCTTCCCCCTCTTCCTCCCGAACTCCAAAACTTGGCACGATACCCAACAGCAAACGATGTCCAAAACCAACGGCGGTCACCGGTGCGTAGGCGGCCTAGTGTATCAAAGGCGTCCGTGGCGACGCCGACAGCGAATCCTGTTCAAAATGGACCAGCACTGCTGTCGGTATTCGCACCCATTGCTTCCGTACGAAGTTCGGTCGTGCCGATCGAACAGGATGATCGGAACCAAGGCACGATCGGGTCGCACTTGTTTCAATTATATGATGCATGCTGGCCAGCCTGGCCCCCTACCGATATTGTTCTAGTCATATGTAAAGTGGTGTACGTATACACACATACGTACATATGTATATATACATATGTATACTTGTGTGCGTGAGTGTGCGAAGCAACCTCCGTGATGCAACGTTTATGTATATGGACGGAGGAAGGTTGTGCAATTTTTGTGGTGCATCGTATGTCGTTGCCATCTACATGGTGAAATCTACCATGTGCAATGAATGTTGTTACATATATACATATATATATATATGGTGCAACTGACTGTGCCTCCCGCGCGCGCAACCTATTCCCATGCTCGCACAAGCCTCACACCCACCCACCCGCAACCTGGTTCGCCCCGTGCGGCGGCGATTGCGATGGCTGCTTGGCGCTGGTTGGTGCATCGCTGCGGCCGCGCTAACGTGCGCCCGCTTGCGCGCAAAGCGGCCAGGTATTCTGGCACGACCGACACGGCCACGGTGGCCCCGACCGCTGGGAAATTTCCAGCGCGTCTCGCAGGCCGCGGTGACGCACGGGCACATCAGTGCGAGTCGGCAACTCGGGCGGGGACGGCTTCATGGCGACGTCGACACCAGCAGACACGATGATGATAGCAGCGGTGCTGGTGACCATGACGACTGACGACTGACGACGGCACCGATGCTGATCACACGTGCGCGGGTGGCCCGCACGGCATTATTTAACAGGGACCGCGCCCGCCGCCCCCCCAGCACGCGCGCCAGGGCGTTCGAATGATCGACACGCGCGCGCGAGAGGCACGTTCGATAGCATTCGATGACACTGTTGGAAAACCAATAGTTGCGCAAAGAATTCGCAACAGCGCCAACGCTGGCTTTTTTGGAGGGGTTTTGCAGAGTCACGTTACGAAACCATTGCGCGGCACATGCTCTCGAAGCACCCGATTTTGAAATGCTGGCGATAGCTGCTGTTCCTGAGTGTCTTCGACACGCGCGCGCGCGACGACGCGCGCGCGCGACGACGCGCGCGCGCGTGCACTTCGCCAGGTTTCACGCAATGGTTCTTGCGACAGCACGCGAGCAAGAGTGTTCGACTGATTCCGAAACGCACGCGCGAAGAGCACTCCGAGGTGATTTCGTGGTCCATCCGCGGCCGCAGGGAGGTCCCGACCGCTTCCCTGGGCGTGGACTCTCGCCCCGAGCCCATTCCTGATGGCCCCTGGGGCGCGAAAGCAACCCCCGGGGACCGAAGCCTCTGAAGAAGCACTGGCGTAGCCGAAAAAACCTTATGAGGTCTGGGCTTCCCTCCAGACCCGCTTGCTCCACGGCGGCCTCGAGCAGCCCAGACACCCTCCGGCCGGATGCGCCCCCAGCGGTCTGCAGGGCGGCCAGGTCGGCCGCGGGCAAGAAGAGGCAAAGGCGCTCGACGGCGAGGTCCTCAGAGGAGCCCAAAACAAAACTGCACACATAGGAACGCAACAACTTGTAGGAACTCTGCGCGGAATTCGCGGACTGCCGCCGGCCAGGCCCCGGCGCCGACCCGGGAAAGCCACTCGGAGCTCCGAGAAGATGGAAGTTTATGCCATTCTTTGAAAAGAGGCAGACGCTCTCGACGGTCGTCGTCGTCGCCGTCGTCGTCGTCCGTCGTCGTCAGCCGTCGTCCGTCGTCCGTCGTCCGTCGTCGTCGATCGTCGTCATCGTCGTCGTCGGCCACCGTCGTCGTCGTCGCCGTCGTCGTCGTCGTCGTCGTCGTCGTCGTCCGTCGTCGTCGTCGTCGTCGTCGTCGTCCGTCGTCGTAGTCGTCGTCGTGCAACGTTCGTCGTCCGTCGTCATCGTCGTCGTCGTCCTCGTGGTCGTCGTCGCCATCGTCGTCGTCGTCGTCCGCCGTCGTCGTCCGTCGTCGTTATCGTCGTCGTCCGTCGTCCGTCGTCTGTCGTCCGTCGTCGTCGTCGTCATGGTCGTCGTCCGTCGTCGTCGTCGTCGTCCGTCGTCGCCGTGGTCGTCGTCCGTCGTCGTCGTCGTCGTCGTCCGTCGTCGTCGTCATCGTCGTCGTCGCCGTCGTCGTCGCCGTCGTCGTCGTCGTCGGTGTCGGCGTCGTCGTGGTCATCGTCGTCCGCCGTCGTGGTCGCCGTCGTCATCGTCCGTCGTTCGTCGTCGTCCGTCGTCCGTCGTCGTCGCCGTCGTCGTCCGTCGTCGTCGGCGTCGTCGTCGTCGTCCGTCGCCGTCGTCTTCGTCCTCCGTCGTGCGCCGTCCGCTGTCGCCGTCGTCGTTGTCGTCATCGTCGTCGTCGTCCGTCGTCCGTCGTCGTCGTCGTCGTCCGACGTCGTCGTCGCCCGTCGTCCGTCGTCCGTCGTGCGTCGACGTCGTCATCATCGTCGTCATCGTTCCCCGTCGTCGTCATCGTCGTCCGTCGCCGTCGTCCGTCGTCCGTCATCGTCGTCGTCGTCGTCGCCCATCGTCGTCGTCGTCGGTCGACGTCGTCGCCACCGTCGTCGGCGTCCGCCGTCGTCGCTGTCGTGCTCGTCGTCGTCGCCGTCGTCCACAGTCGTCGTCGCCGTCGTCGTCGCCATCGTCGTCTTCGCCCATCGTCCGTCGTCGTCGCCGTCGTCGTCCGCCGTCGTCGTCGCCGTCGTGGCCGTCATCGGCCGTCGTCGTCGTCCGTCGTCCGCCGTCCGCCGTCGTCGTCGTCGTCCGTCGTCATCGTCGTCGTCGTCCGTCGTTGTCGTCGTCCGTCGTCCGTCGTCCCTCGTCGTCGTCGTCGTCCGTCGTCGTCGTCGCCCGTCGTCCGTCGTCCGTCGTCCGTTGACGTCGTCGTCATCGTCGTCGTCGCCCGTCGACGTCGTCGTCGTCCGTCGACGTCGTCGTCGTCGACGTCCGCCGTCACCGCCGTCGTCGTCGTTGGTCACCGTCGTCCATGGTCCGTCGTCGTCGCCGCCGTCGTCGGCGTCGTCGTCGTCGTCGTCGTCGGCCGTCGTCGTCGTCGTTGACGTCCGTCGTCGTCGTCGTCCGTGGTCCGTCGTCCGTCGTCCGTCGTCCGTCGTCCGTCGTCCGTCGTCGCCGCCGTCGTCGTCGTCGTGGTCGTCGTCATCGTCATCGTCGTCGTCTTCGTCGTCGTCCGCCGTCGTCCGTCGTCCGTCGACAAGCGTCCGTCATCGTCGTCATCGTCGTCGCCCATCGTCGTCGTCGTCGTCGCCATCGTCGTCGTCGTCGTCGTCGTCCGTCGTCGTCTCCCGTCGTCCGTCGTCCGTCGTCGTCGTCGTCGTCGTCGTCGCCGTCGTCGTCGTCGGCCGTCGTCGTCGTCGTCGTCGTCGTCGTCCGCCGTCGTCGCCGTCGTCGTCGTCGTCGTCCGTCGTCGTCGTCCGTCGACATCGTCGTTGTCCGTCGTCGTCGTCTGTCGTCGGCGTCGCCGTCGCCGTCCATCGTCGTCGTCATCGTCGTCGGCCGTCGTCGTCCGTCGTCCGTCGTCCGACGCCAGTCGTCGCCGTCGTCGTCGTCGTCCGTCGTCCGTCGCCCGTCGTCGCCGTCCGTCGTCCGTCGTCGTCCCCAGTCGTCGTCGTCGTCGTCGTCGTCGTCGTAGTCGTTGTCGTCGTCGTCGTGTACAGTCGTCGTCGTCATCGTCGTCGCCCGTCGTCGTCGTCGTCGTCGTCATCGCCGTCGTCGTCGTCGTCATCGTCATCGTCGTCCGCCGTTGTTCGTCGTCGTCGTCGTCCGTCGTCGTCTTCCGTTTTCCTTCGTCGTCACCGTCGTCGTCCGTCGTCGTCGTCGTCGTCGTCGTCGGCCGTCGTCGTCGCCGTCGTCGTCGTCCGTCGTCGTCGTCGTCGTCGTCGTCGTCGTCCGTCGTCGCCGTGGTCGTCGTCGTCCGTCGTCCGACGTCCGTCGTTCGTCATCGTTGTCGTCGTCGTCGTCGTCGACGTCCAGGTCGTCGTCATCGTCCTCGTCGCCTGTCGTCCGTCGTCCAACGTCCGTCGTCGTCGTCGTCGTCGCCGTCGTCGTCATCGGAGTCGTCGTCGTCCGTCCTCGTCGTCCATCGTCGCTTCGTCGTCGTCGTCCGTCGTCGTCGTCGTCGTCCGACGTCGTCGTCGTTGTCGTCGTCTTCCGTCGTCGCCGTCGTCGTCGACGTAGTCGTTGACGTCGTCGTCGTCCGTCGTCGTCGTCGTTGTCGCCGTCGTCGTCGTCATCGTCGTCGTCCGTCGCCGTCGTCGTCGACGTCGTCGTCGTCGTCCATCGTCGTCGTCGTCCATCACAGTCGTCTTCCGGCGTCGTCGTCCGTCGTCATCGTTTTCGACGTCGCCGTCGTCCTCCGTCGTCGTCGCCATCAGCGTCCGTCGTTGTCGTCGTCGTCCATCGTCGTCGTCGTCTGTCGTCCGTCGTCGTCGTCGTCGTCGTCGTCCGTCGTCGTCATCGCTGTCGTCGTCTGTCGTCGTCGTCGCCCATCGTCCGTCATCGTCGCCGTCGTCCGTCATCGTCGTCGTCGTCGGCATCTTCGTCGTCCGTCGTCGTCGTCGTCAGCCGTCGTCGTCGACGTCCGTCATCGTCCGCCGTCGTCGTCGTCGTCCGCCGTCGTCGTCGTCGTCGCTGTCGTGCGTCGTCGCCGTCGTCGTCATCCATTGTCCTCCGTCGTCGTCGTCATCGTCGTCCATCGTCGTCGTCGTCGTCGTCGTCCGTCGTCGTCGTTGTCGTCCGTCGTCGTCGTCGGCATCGGCGTCGTCCGTCGTCGGCGTCGTCGTCATCGTCGTCCACCGTCGTCGGCGTCGACGTCGTCATCGTCGTCCATCGTCGTCATTGTGGTGCGTCGTCGTCGTCGTCGTCGTCCGTCGTCCTCCGTCGTCGTCGTCATCGTCGTCCACCGTCCTCGTCGTCGTCGTCGTCGTCCGTCGTCGTCGAAGTCCTCCGTCGTAGTCGTCTGCGTCGGCGTCGGCGTCGTCCGTCGTCGTCGTCGTCGTCATCGTCGTCCACCATCGTCGGCGTCGACGTCGTCATCGTCGTCCGTCGTCGTCGTTGTCGTGCGTCGTCGTCGTCGTCCATTGTCCTCCGTCGTCGTCGTCATCGTCGTCCATCGTCGTCGTCGTCGTCGTCCTTTGTCGTCGTTGTCGTCCGTCGTCGTCGTCGGCGTCGGCGTCGTCCGTCGTCGTCGTCGTCGTCGTCATCGTCGTCCACCGTCGTCGGCGTCGACATCGTCATCGTCGTCCGTCGTCGTCGTTGTCGTGCGTCGTCGTCGTCGTCGTTGCCCATTGTCCTCCGTCGTCGTCGTCATCGTCGTTCATCGTCGTCATCGTCGTCGTCGTCCGTCGTCGTCGTTGTCGTCCGCCGTCGGCGTCGGCGTCGGCGTCGTCCGTCGTCGTCGTCGTCGTCATCGTCGTCCACCGTCGTCGGCGTCGACGTCGTCATCGTCGTCCGTTGTCGTCGTTGTCGTGCGTCGTCGTCGTCGTTGTCCATTGTCCTCCGTCGTCGTCGTCATCGTCGTCCATCGTCGTCGTCGTCGTCCGTCGACGTCGTTGTCGTCCGTCGTCGGCGTCGGCGTCGGCGTCGTCCGTCGTCGTCGTCGGCGTCGACGACGTCATCGCCGTCCGTCGTCGTCGTCGTCGTGCGTCGTCGTCGTCGTCGTTGGCCATTGTCCTCCGTCGTCGTCGTCATCGTCGTCCATCGTCGTCGTCGTCGTCGTCGTCCGTCGTCGTCGTTGTCGTCCGTCGTCGGCGTCGGCGTCGGCGTCGTCCGTCGTCGTCGTCGTCGTCGTCATCGTCGTCGTCGGCGTCGACGTCGTCATCGTCGTCCATCGTCGTCGTCGTAATGCGCCGTCGTCGTCGTCGTTGCCCATTGTCCTCCGTCGTCGTCGTCATCGTCGTCCATCGTCGTCGTCGTCATCGTCGTCGTCGTCCGTCGTCGTCGTTGTCGTCCGTCGTCGGCGTCGGCGTCGGCGTCGTCCGTCGTCCGTCGTCGCCGTCACCGTCGTCCACCGTCGTCGGCGTCGACGTCGTCATCGTCGTCCGTCGTCGTCGTTGTCGTGCGTCGTCGTCGTCGGTGTCCATTGTCCTCCGTCGTCGTCGTCATCGTCGTCCATCGTCGTCGTCGTCGTCGTCGTCGTCCGTCGTCGTCGTTGTCGTCCGTCGTCGGCGTCGGTGTCGGCGTCGTCCGTCGCCGTCGTCGTCGTCATCGTCGTCCACCGTCGTCGGCGTCGTCATCGTCATCGTCGTCCACCGTCGTCGGCGTCGTGCGTCCTCGTCGCCGTCGTCGTCCATTGTCCTCCGTCGTCGTCGTCATCGTCGTCCATCGTCGTCGTCGTCGTCGTCGTCGTCCGTGTCGTCGTTGTCGTCCGTCGTCGGCGTCGGCGTCGGCGTCGTCCGTCGTCGTCGTCGTCGTCGTCATCGTCGTCCACCGTCGTCGACGTCGACGTCGTCATCGTCGTCCGTCGTCGGCGTTGTCGTGCGGCGTCGTCGTCGTCGTCCATTGTCCTCCGTCGTCGTCGTCATCGTCGTTCGTCCATCGTAGTCGTCGTCGTCGTCGTCGTCGTCCGTCGTCGTCGTTGTCGTCCGTCGTCGGCGTCGGCGTCGGCGTCGTCCGTCGTCGTCGTCGTCATCGTCGTCGTCGGCGTCGACGTCGTTATCGTCGTCCGTCGTCGTCGTTGTCGTGCGTCGTCGTCGTCGTCGTCGTCCATTGTCCTCCGTCGTCGTCGTCATCGTCGTCCATCGTCGTCGTCGCCGTCGTCGTCGTCGTCCGTCGTCGTCGTCGTCGTCCGTCGTCGGCGTCGGCGTCGGCGTCGTCCGTCGTCGTCGTCGTCGTCATCGTCGTCCACCGGAGTCGGCGTCGACGTCGTCATCGTCGTCCGTCGTCGTCGTCGTCGTGTGTCGTCGTCGTCGTCGTCCATTGTCCTCCGTCGTCGTCGTCATCGTCGTCCGTCGTCGTCGTCGTCGTCGTCGTCCGTCGTCGTCGTTGTCGTCCGTCGTCGGCGTCGGCGTCGGCGTCGTCCGTCGTCGTCGTCGTCGTCATCGTCGTGCACCGTCGTCGGCGTCGACATCGTCATCGTCGTCCGTCGTCGTCGTTGTCGTGCGTCGTCGTCGACGTCGTTGTCCATTGTCCTCCGTCGTCGTCGTCATCGTCGTCCATCGTCGTCGTCGTCGTCGTCCGCCGTCGTCGTTGTCGTCCGTCGTCGGCATCGGCGTCGGCGTCGTCCGTCGTCGTCGTCGTCGTCATCGTCGTCCACCGTCGTCGGCGTCGTCGTCGTCGTCGTCGTCCGTCGTCGTCGTCGTCGTGCGTCGTCGTCGTCGACGTCCATTGTCCTCCGTCGTCGTCGTCATCGTCGTCCATCGTCGTCGTCGTCGTCGTCGTCGGCCGTCGTCGTCGTTGTCGTCCGTCGTCGGCGTCGGCGTCGGCGTCATCCGTCGTCGTCGTCGTCATCACCGTCGTCCACCGTCGTCGGCGTCGACGTCGTCATCGTCGTCCGTCGTCGTCGTTGTCGTGCGTCGTCGTCGTGGTCGTCGTAGACCATGGTCCTCCGTCGTCGTCGTCATCGTCGTCCATCGTCGTCGTCGTCGTCGTCGTCGTCCGTCGTCGTCCTTGTCGTCCGTCGCCGGCGTCGGCGTCGGCGTCGTCCGTCGTCGTCGTCGTCGTCATCGTCGTCCACCGTCGTCGGCGTCGACGTCGTCATCGTCGTCCGTCGTCGTCGTTGTCGTGCGTCGTCGTCGTCCGTCGTCGTCGTCGTCGTCGTCCGTCGTCGTCGTCGTCGTCCGTCGTCGGCGTCGGCGTCGGCGTCGGCCGTCGTAATCGTCATCGTCGTCGTCGTCCGTCGTCGTCGTCGTCGTCGTCCGTCGTCGGCGTCGGCGTCGGCGTCATCCGTCGTCGTCGTCGTCATCGTCGTCCACCGTCGTCGGCGTCGACGTCGTCATCGTCGTCCGTCGTTGTCGTGCGCCGTCGTCGTGGTCGTCGTCGTCGTCCGTCGTCGTCGTCCGTCGTCGATATCGTCGTCATCGTCGTCCACCGTCGTCGTCGTCGTCGTCGTCATCGTCACCGTCGTCCGTCGTCGTCGTCGCGTCGTCGTCGTCGTCCGTCGTCGTCATCCACCGTCGTCGTCGTCATCGTCGTCGTCGTCGTCCGTCGTCGTCGTCCGCCGTCGTCGTCGTCGTCGTCGTCGTCGTCCGTCGTCGTCGTCCGCCGTCGTCGTCGTCCGTCGTCGTCGTCGTCCGTCGTCGTCGTCCGTCGTCGTCGTCATCGTCGTCCGTCGTCCGTCGTCACCGGCGGCTGCGGCGGAGAGGTCCTCCAGGCGGGCGGCGGGCTCCGCACGATCCGCGGCGGCGGGCTCCGCCGCGGGGCCGCTCTGCAGCCGCCGCAGCTGCTCCTCCAGGCGCAGCAGCTCCTGCACGTGCTCGTCCAGCTCCGCCTGCAGCGCCTCCTCGGCGACCTCTCACAAATGAAGGGGCCCCAGGACACACAAATAAATACACACAAATAAAAATATTCCCCATAGTTTCGCATATTTTCTGGGTTTTTGTCTTCCCTCCCACTTCCCATATGTTCCCATATTTTTCTGGGAGTGGAGGATTAATTGTGTCTGTGTTTTTTTTCCCTCCTGAACAAACCCCGACCGCGGGAAAAGGCTGTGCGCCACACAGAAGGGCGCACTAATCCCACCAGCCCTCTGGGCGTAGGTGGTCCAGAGAGGCTCTTCTTCAAACCCCCCCTCCCTCCGCTTCGAGGAGGGGTTTATCACTGTTCCCTTTTGGTAAACACCCCCTTCCCCAGGCGACCGGCAGCCAGCCAGGAACAATGAGGACCCCATGACGACCCCCCCCAAACAATCCTTGTCAAGAAACAACACGGACACACGCTCTGCCTCCAAATTCGGAGCCTGCGCAACCCACCCGATGCGGGCACCCCCCCACGATCCCTGTCAAAAAATAGAAAGTACTGCATGGGGCAAAGCCCGAAGTCATGTTCGCAAGGCCCCCGAGCACTTTGTACTGTTTTTTGACAGGGACGGCGGGAGTGTCAGCATATTGCCTGCTGCGCGCAGGGCTACCATCCCTGACAAAAAAAATACAAAGTGCGCCTCGCGACTAAATCTGGATCATGCGCGGCCACCCCGCGATCACTGCCAAGTGGTTTTTGACAGGGACGGCGGGGGTAGTGGCGTATGACCTGCTGCGCGCCGTCCCACCAGATACAATGATGGGCATTAATTTTCGACAAGGATGGTGGGGCCCGACATGTTTCCCGATGTGTGATGCCACATGCGTAGGCGCACCTGACACACTCTGTCTGCACGTGCCCCGAACGTGGCGCACCTGGCGCGGCTGGAGTATACGGCACACCTGACGTACGCGGAGGCACGTGGCGCATCTGGCGCACCAGGCGTGCCAGGCACGCTCGGGCCCCAGGGATGCCTGGCGCGCGTGGCGCGCCTGGTACGCGTGGCGCACCTCGGCCCAGCGTCGCGCACATAGGCTCGGCTTTGGTTCAAAGAGAGCTCCAGATAGCCGCCAGAGAAGCCTGAGAGAGCCCCAAGACGGCCCCAAGAGGGCCCAAGATGGCTCCAAGAGTGCTCCAAGAGGGGTCCAAGAGACGATGCTAGGCACACTAGAGGGGCAAGGCTAATTGAAGTTCCCCACTTCTTTAATGGATGTCCTCCAATATGGCTCCAAGAGCGTCCCAAAGCCTCCCAGGAGCGCCCCAAGAGGGCCCAAAGAGGCGCCAAGGAGGCCCCAAGAGGCGCCCAAGAGGCCTCCAAGAGGCTCCCTAGAGACCCCCAAGAGGCCACAAGAGGCCCCCCGAGGTATGCAGGAGGCCCCCAGGACCGCCAAGAGGCCCCCAAGACGCCCCAAGAAGACCCCAAGCTCATCATTGTCCTCCTCCTCCTCCTCCTCCTCCTCCTCCTCCTCCTCCTCCACCTCCTCCTCCTCCTCCTCCTCCTCCTCCTCCTCCTCATATTCCTCCCCCTCATCCTCCTCCTCCTCATCATCATCCTCCTCCTCTTCCTTCTCCTCCTCCTCCTCCTCCACCTCCTCCTCCTCCTCCTCCTCCTTATCTCCCTCATCCCCCTCGTCTTTCCTCTCCGCCTTTCCTCACTCGGCAGATCCGCGAAGGCGCATACGATTCGCTCATGGGTCTGCGCAGGCTGATCCAAGACTTCAGTTTGACGGCTTCCCTGGCTCTTGATCCTGCATACTCCTCCGCTTCCCTGATCAAGGCAACTCGCCTGGGCATCGTTTGTGGATAGTCTGGTGGGGATGCGCGAAGCGTCAAGAACCCAATGCTTTTACGGGATGCACATCACAGAAACCACGATGCATATCACTGAGCGCTTATCAATGGAACGCCTTTGTGTGGACCCCGCTGGCCGGGTCTATGAGACCTCGTCCTCCTCCTCGGCGGTCCGCACCGCCGCAGCAGCGGACGGGAGGACGCCAACGTCCACACTTGCACCGACCCTGGCCACACAGACATGATCGCGTCGTACGGCTTGTGGCCGTTCTCGGCCCTCCAGCGTCGCCGAAAAATACCGACGGTATGTCTTTTCCCACCCATCCTGTGGTGTTGAGTCCTCGTTTTAAAAAAACATTACCCCGTGTTCCTTCCTCCCTTCCTTCCCCAACTCATCCTCCTCTCCTCCTCCTCTCCCTCCTCCTCTCCCTCCTCCTCCTCCTCCTCCTCCTCCTCCTCCTCCTTCCTCCTCCTCTTCCTCCTCCTCCTCCTCCTCCTCCTCTTCCTCCTCCTCCTCCTCCTCCTCCTCCTCCTCCTCCTCCTCCCCATCCTTCGTCCTCCCATCCTCCCGCTGCCCTTCCCCTCCTCCCACCCCTGCCTCTGCCCTCCGCAAGTCCTCATCATCATCATCATCATCATCATCAGCAGCAGCATCATCAGCATCATCAGCATCATCATCAGCAACATCATCAGCATCATCAGCATCATCATCATCACTGACGCCATCATCGTTATCATCACCGCCATCTTCCACATCATCACCACCGCAATCATCGGCATCGTGCCTCTGCTCTCCGCATGTGCACCATGTCGGCACACCCTTCACGCGTTTCGTGGCCACATAGGGAGCTCCACCAAAGGCCCCAGTGGCTGCGTTCACATGCGTCCCGCGCCCATTTCGGCACACACCCCACATGGTTCATGACCCCATACGGAGCTCCACCGAAGGCCCCAGTGGATCCGTTCACATGCGTCCCGCGCCCATTTCAGGACACCCCTCACACGGTTCGTGGCCCCATCGGGAACTCCACCGAAGGCCTCAGTGGCAACATTCACATGCGTCCCATTTCGGAACACCCCTCACACTGTTCGTGGATAGAGAGCTCTACCGAAGGCCGCGGGTCACTTCGGCACACCCCTCACACGGTTCGTGGCCCCATAGGGAGCTCCACCGAAGGCCCCAGTGGGCCCCAGTGGCTGCGCTCACATGCGTCCCGCGCCCATTTCGGCACACACCTCACACAGTTCGTGGCCCAACACGGAGCTCCACCGAAGGCCCCAGCGGCAGGGTCCGCATGGCGTACCCGCGCCCGATTCGGCAAACCCCTCACACGTCTCGTGGCCCAACACGGAGCTCCACTGAAGGCCCCAGCGGCAGAGCCTGCATGGCGCACCTGCACCCGATTCGGCACACCCCTCACACGGTTCGTGGCACCAAAGGGAGCTCCACCGAAGGCCCCAGCGGCAGGGCCCACATGGCGTACCCGCACCCGATTCGGCACACCCCTCGTTCCTCCCTTCCTGCTTCTTCTCACTTGCCTCGCGGTACCCGCAGTTTCATGTGGTTGGGCCCTTCGCCAGGATGATTCATAGTTTTCGGCCTGGCGTCTGGGGACCCTCACCAGGACCCCGCACCGTGCAAAAGCGATTCGGGACGAAAAATCGGTCCCTGCGAAGGAGGTTCCACGCCGTGAAGCAGTCGTGGCGTCGGGCGTCCGGGCACACCTATCCTGGCCGAGCCATCCTGGGCCAGAGGTCGGTGCATACGCCCTCCAGCCGTGGCCAGGAAGGCCCATGCACCGATCCTGGGCCCAGGATCGAGCGGCGACGGTCGGCGCAGGTGTGCAGTCGACGCCCTCAGATGTGGAGGCGGCGGCGCCAGCTCTGCCGGCGCAGGGCTCGGCATTCATCCCATCGGGCGGCACCAACGCTATTGTGCTTAAGTTTCGGAGGAACTCGTGTCTGCCGCGTCGCGCCGCCACTCGCATCGAACCCGCGGCGACTTCACGTCGAACATACACCTACATATGCGGATTCATTTACATATATCTAAGCATATGCATAGGCATATACATGTATATATGTACCAGTAAATACACGTATTCTGATAGCTTGTTTCCATCTATATAAACATGTACATATACCTATAAACATACATACACACATACACATACATAAATTTACACGTATATTTCAATATAGCATGATGGTGAACATGGACCTACACACAAACGTAGACCTGCACATATAAAAATACATGTACAAAAGAATATACATAAACGAAAACATGCACACACATATACATAAATACATACATCTGTATATACATGTACGCATGCACATGCACATGCACGTGCACGTATCTGTACATATGCATATACATACGTACACATCTACATATACGTATGCGTATACGTGTGCACGTACGTTTACATATACATATACATAATGAATACCATTGATGTAAGCATACAGATGTACATATACATACACCGATACATATACCTATAAGTAGCCAAATGCATATAAATGTACATATACATATACATGTATATAAGCATACACTCATACATGTGGGTATACATGTGCATATACACATTCGCATACAAACACACATAGCTATACCTGTACACATATATATATATATATATATATATATATATATGCATGTGCGTATACCTATACATATGCACATACATCTACAAAAAAACAGAGGCGGACATTTCCATATGCACTATGCACATCTGCATACACAAACACATATACCTACTCATACACAGCTACATAAACACATGTATGACAATACATAGACCCATACACATACACGTCGACAAATGCACATGCATATACATGTACTTTGACCTCTGTATATGCAGGTGCCTGTTGCAATTACATATGCAGGACCATTATGCTATACAGAGAGATATATATATACACACATACATACACACATACAAATACATACATATACACACATGCATAGGTGCATATACATACAGACGCACATATGCACATACACATTCATACAAACACATACACACACACACATGCACACAAATACACACACACACACATACACACACACACATACACGCAGTCTCTGTTTGGGGTCCCGCTCCAGTATCAGATGGACAATATCTGTCAATATCAGCCACGTAATGTCAAATTCTGCCAACAACCACGAACTGCGACTGTTTACGAACACATGCAGACGCACGCTGGTATTGAACCTTCAATCCACATCATGCCAATCGCACACA